ATAAAAATATTATTAATAGTACTTTTCATGTTATAAATATATATTTTTTCGTTTTAACAAATGAGTATTTTTTTATGATATAAAAAGTTTTTTTCATTTCAATAAAATGAGTATTTTTTTTTTTCATTATGTGAAAAAAGTATTTTCTTTTATTTCAATAAAATGAGTACTTTATTTTCATATTAGGGAACGAATACTTTCTTTTTCAACCAAAAAAGAGTATTTTCTTTTAGTTATGGAGCACAAATTTCAACGTTATTTTCACGAAAAAAAGTAAAGCAGCACATTAGTTCCTTTGGGTTTGTGTGATATTTTTAGAAGAATAATTAATTTCTTGAAGAAAATATTGGCTATTTGGAGGGGGAGGGGGAGCAAGGATACATAGGGACTTGGGGGAAGGAGGGTGGGTGAGGAGAGTAGCATAAAAAAATATTTTCTACTCTCTTAGCAAACACTAAAAAAAAATCTGGAAAAAGTTTTTCACTCACCAACCAAATAAGAAAAAGTAAGTGATAAAACCACTCATTTTCTAGGAAAACATTTTCCTTCGTACCAAACACACCCATAATTGGAATGCTTTTTATTCTAGGAATTAGAGATATCACACTTTCACTGTGTTATATATATATATATATATATATATATATATATATATATATATATCGCTCTAGTTTTTTTTTCCTCAAATAATATCTCATTTCTATTTCATTCTCATTAAAACATTCCTTGCTATATCTGGATATTGATATACAATATTGTATATATCAGGCAGATGAAAGGTGAGGAACTTGAAGGATTGAGCTTAGAAAAATTGCAACAAATTGAGAAAAGACTTGAAGCTGGACTCACACGTGTGCTTGAGATCAAGGTTCTTTTTCTCGATATTGCACTTTACTATGTTAAAGAGTAGTAAATATATGTTGTTATGCTAATTAAATAACTTCTAATTAATATACACAAACTCTTTTTCCATCTCAGGGTACAAAAATTACGGATGAAATTACCAAACTTCAAAGAAAGGTTAGTAGAAGACTTTATTTGCTTAATTATATTGTCTTAGGGGCTAAAATGTCAATATAACAAGAGTGTAAAAAATTAATTTTTACATTATCATATCATCAAAACGATAACTGCATGTAACATGTCTATACTAAGTAGGATTTATATCTGAAAAAATAAGACAGATAACCTGCTAACAAACAAGTTAAAATACAATGATAGTATTGTGAAAAAAAAGTTATTTTGTAATGTATATAAGTTAATTAATCCCATTCTGTTTTATTGATATATTTTTCGCCTTTGTGACTCCTGAATCATGCAAATCATATATGCAGGGTGCTGAGCTAATGGAAGAAAACAAGCAACTGAAGCAGAAAGTAAAATTATCACCCGGGAATAACCTTTCTTTTTTGTGTACAACTTATTTAATTATTTGAAAGGGTTAAATCGAATTGAATGATCATCTTTAATTTTAATGCTACAAATTAAATTTTTGAATGTGCTTCTTAATTAGATGGCAATGATGAATGAAGGAAAGTTGGATTGCATGGTAATGGAAGAAGGCCAGTCTTCTGATCAGTCTATTACCACCAATGTCTCTAATAGTGGTCCTCCTCCTGAGGATGATTGCTCAAATGCATCCTTGAAGTTAGGGTAAGCTTAATTTGCTTATATATACTCCTTACACTAGGGCAGCCCGGTGTACGTAGTATCGTGTGTTCATGCAGGGGTTAGGGAAAGGTAGCACCCAAAGGTGGTGTGATATGATGTTGGCAGCCCTAACTTATAGCAAAGATTTAACTTATATATCCTAACGGCGGCATAAGAATGGGACCTTGGAACAAAGGTAAAGTTTTCTCTGTATGGCATATAGATTACGGGTTCCTCAAGCCGTGAAATGAGCCATAGGCTACCTACACAATCCTCTTAGAGTGTGGCTCTTTCTCGGACCTTGTGTCTGCGGGATGCTTCATACACTGGGTTGTTCATTGTACTGACGATATAAACTAAAGTATGTTATCGATTAAAGTTATCTGCCCTATTTATCGAATTATTTGTTCCACTTATTAGGGTAGTTACATATAGTAAACTTTTGGGTCATTAGATAGCGTAGTGTAAGAGTTCTTTTACATTGTTTGTGTATATAAATTAAAAGAAATGTAAGCTGCATTTTGATTACTTGTTCTCCACCAATGTCTGCATGCAGTTGTAACAATGGCCCTCCTATTGAGGATGATTGCTCAGATACATATTTGAAGTTAGGGTAAGCTTCTCTCTTATTTATTTATTTATTTTAAAATACTATTTAAGTATTTTAACATGTTGTGTTGAGTTAGTTGCCTCTTTTAACATGTTGTATTTTAACACTTTCCCTTGTTATTTTTGGATTTCCAAATATGTTTTTCTATCAGGCTACCATTCAACTAGTGAAACTCATACGGGGAGTTTTGTTGAGATTATCATAATTTTCGGATATGCAGACATTTCATGCAATGAGTGGCATATAGATTTGCCTTTTCTGAAATATATGTATATATATAATATTGGAATTGCCATTGTTGTACTTTGTATTATTATATGTGTATATGTGGACTAGTTAAGAAAGGGCAGACTGCTAATTAATGGTCTCATTTATCTTTTTTTAAATTCCATTTGCAGCTAAACTGAGCGCTCTAAAATGAGCTTTTAATACTAGTTCACCCACCTCAATATAATTAACTGCAAAAATATAAAACCAATCTTAAGAGCTTTCTTTTTGTGCATGTCAAAGATTTAGCACACCGTTTTTCTTAAGGGAAAGAATAAATAGGAATAGAAACAGAAATATTGAGGCAAATTGGTGGTTTAAATTCTAACTATGAATGTTAAAATAAATAGCTCAGATTATCTTTTTATCAAAAATCAAAATTAGTATGGTTATTTTCAAGCCTTTTAAGATAATAACGATGAGAAACAAATAAAGATCTCAAGCAATAGTTTGTCTAGCAATCAACGTCTTGGGCTTGAGTTTCATTCATATGATTACAATCAAGCCCTTTTCTGATGAATCGTATAGCTTTACGATTTTATCGACTAAAAGGGTTATCAAATAAATTGTAATTACAATTGAAACGATCAAAAAGTAAATGTGAGTTAATATATGCTCTAAGGTTGAAAATAACATAAAAAATCTTAAAATAGACGTGTGTTTCTCCCAATTACGTATGGCAAAATGAGAAAATTAAATACTTACCCTCGTTGATGTTCACACCTAATCAAGTGGAGTAATCAATTAGAGTTAAAAAAATAAGTCATGCGACCAGGGGCGGATTTAGGGGGCGCAAGGGGTTCACCCGAACCCCCTTCGCCGAAAAATTACACTGTATATATAAGGAAAAATCTGGTTTTTATCTCTATATGTTAAGTTTTGAACCCCCTTAACACAACCCAAAAGTGTAGTTTAATGGTCAAGGGGGTTCAAAACCTTCATAAGGTCAAGGGGCTACAAAATATTTTTTTGAACCCCCTTCGTGAAGATCCTGCCTCCGCCGCCGCATGCGAGAGTGCATATAAGTTTTATCCTCTCGACCTACAGGCATCAATGAAACGTTGTCATTTGTTGAAAAGGCAAGAAGCAAGGGAGATACCAAATCCAAATGCCATGAAAATCATTATAGGAAAAAAAGATATATAAAAACTATTCTAATCATTCGGGTCATAAAGAGTTCAAAGACTATGTTTTAGTTGGCCAAGTGCAAAAATAGCCATTTTAGGCCTCCATTTAGAGCGTAGTCAACATTTATTATTTTTTATGTGGGTCTGAATTTGAACTTCAGAACTTCCAATATGAAGTTAAGACTTTGGCAAGGTCCAACCGGAGGTTCAGTCTGAATTTTGTCAAAGATCGACTAAATTTTAATTAATTTTTGGAAAAATATTTTAAATAAGGTTACTACAAGCGGCTACCTAGTGTAATTTCTACTATTTTAGCTTGAGATCTTTACACAAATAGCCTATTTGATTTGCTTTTTAGTTTTTCTAACCGCTATACATAGATTATACATAAATTATATATGGTTATACATATATTTTATTATGAATTATATAAATTAATGTACATTTACTAGCTATTTTTTTATATTATTAAACGATTGGGTGATTGGCTATTTAAGTTAATTCTTCTTTTAGCTTTAACTGAAAAGCCCAATATTCAAAGCCCAATCTAAAGGACATGATTCAGCCCATAATCACAGAATGAGTTAGCTGAAGCGTATTTACATATCGGCGAGCACGACCGGCGACGGCGAGCGCACCGGCAAGATGAATTACGTCCGGCAGAGTCCGACGAGTCGGAGAATGGCATGGCCGCTGCAAATGGGTGGACTTTTGATGCTTCTTTTACCAAATCTGTTTCCCAGTCTCTTCTCTCCTCTTAGCCGCTCTTACTCTTCCCTCTTCTCTGTAATATCTCTTTACTTCTCCTTTTTCAGCCTTTTTCACAGTATCTTAAAAGATTAAATCATTTAGTATCGGAATGAAATGTGCTGGATATAGTGATGAAACTGAAAATTCATATAGTTGATTGATTGATTGCTTGATGTATCTGTTTGCTAATGCAATGTGGTGGATCAGAACTTAGGTGAACAAGAATTTGTTGAATAGCTAATAACTTATCGCATATTCACTCTGTCCTTAATTTATGTGATACATTTAAGATTCTCATTGATTTATAGTCACAGAGATGTCTATTCAACTTTTTTTTCCTTGTACTTTGATTGGATGTAATGTACAAGCAGATTGCTGAAATAGTTTCCTTTCTTTCTTTGTGTAAGCTAAAGGTTATAGCTTTCTGTTACTTCTCAGTGCGGCAGCACATTTTACAGAATTAGTGCTTTCGAAAGATCATATTTTCGTGGTCTAATGGTATCATTTCATGTACCGCTAAGATCACAGAGATTGTTGGATGCTCTTATCACTAGTTGTGCTTAGTGTCAATCATGGACAGCTTAGCCATGTAAATTTTTGATTCCTCATATATGGATTTCCAGGTATTCATGATTCACATGCACCTCGATTTCTCTTAGAAGATTGTACCTGCTCAAACTTGTAGAATTATTCAGTTCTTTATTAGTTAATTCGTGCAATTTGCAGGAATGGAATGCTCCTAAGTCTATGCACGTGCATTTACTAAACAGGGCTTTGCAACAACAGACAGTGAGTAGAGTTGCCACTTCATTTCTTTTTAGCTGTGAGATTGCTATGGAAGTTTTGGGACCATATATTCAAATTCTGTATTAATTTAGCGCCTTTCAGTCTAATGCTCAAGAAGCAGACCTCTGGTCGCCCTTGCCTAATCAGGGATGGGAATCCTGCCCTGATAATCAAGACACTCAATGTGAGAGTTACACCATACTTTTGTATCTTGTCTCTGCTTTATGAAGGGTTCTTAGCAATTTAAATTCTTCGTGTTCTAACCATTTTTCAATTGCATGCGTTTGTAGCATTGCATAGAAAGTCTCAGGTGTACATACAGGTGTTTTTGGATGGAGGATTGAACCAACAGAGAATGGGGGTATGTAATTTTCTGTTATGATATTGGTTAGTTTACAGATTCTTGATGTATATGACTTTCGGGGCACTTTAGTCTTATGAATGATTATGTTTACTTTGCTCCCATGATAGATCTGTGATGCAGTAGCTGTTGCTAAAATTTTAAATGCGACACTTGTAATTCCGTATCTTGAAGTAAATCCAGTTTGGCAGGACTCAAGGTATTTACTGTCAGCTATTACAGCTTCCACTTTCTAAGTACTTTATAGCTTTATGTGACTGCCCCTTTTACAGATTGATACTCCTTATGTGAAGTGCTTTTACAGTTCCTTTGCAGAAATTTTTGATGTTGATCACTTTATCAATATCTTGAGTGGTGACGTCTCTGTAGTTAAAGAGCTTCCCAGTGAGTACTCCTGGAGTACCAGAGAATACTATGCAACAGGCATACGAGCTACTAGAATTAAGACAGCGCCTGTACATGCTTCTGCTACATGGTACCTGGAGAATGTTCTGCCTGTAATGCAGAGGTACTACTGAAATGTCCACCGTTTTATACATTTTCATTTTTGCCAGCTAACACATTCTCATTACCAGATGCATTTTTGTAGATTGCTTGATTTAACTGGAACACTCTGCCTTCAACAATTGAAACCTACTTCTGACTTCTCTTTGTATGATTAAAAATAAAGCTTGAACTCACAACAAGACTAACTCGCTTCTTTCTTCCAGCTATGGGATTGTAGCTATTGCTCCATTCTCTCATCGTTTGGCTTTTGACAACCTACCTTCAGACATCCAGCATCTGCGTTGTAAGGTCAACTTTAACGCGCTAGTTTTTGTTCCCCATGTCAGAACGTTAGGCGACACACTCGTCAGTCGTCTGCGTAGCCCTCCTAGTATGAATAAAGCATCAAGTGCTACACACTTCTACGATATGGAAAATGACAGAGCAGGAGCTGGAAAGTATGTTGTATTGCATCTTCGCTTTGATAAAGTATGACTATCTTCTACCTTGCTGACTCAATTCCATTCTTACAATCATAGTTTAGACTATGCTTGAAGTCGAGTCTGTGTTCTTGGGCTTTTTAATTCCTCCTGTGACAACTATGAGCGTATTGCACTGTATCAGTGTTTATGTCGATGTTCCATGTCTATGCTAGTTAAAGACATTATTATATGAGGGTTCAGTAAATTAAAGGCCACTTGGTATAATTATCTGTCAGCCACTTTGGTCAAATATGCTTATACACATCTCCAAGTTAAGAAAGTTAAAACCCGTCATGTTTCACTAAAATTCACTTGGATACCTTCGATTTTGATCCACCTATCCGTTAATGGAAACAAATAGAAAGGCTTTTGCACAAGACGACAATTATTTGTTTAATACACTTGGATTTTAATTGCCTGGAAAATGTCTTTTAAGCAGGATATGGCTGCTCACTCAGCTTGTGACTTTGGTGGCGGCAAAGCTGAGAAACTTGCTCTTGCAAAATATCGCCAAGTACTTTGGCAAGGGAGAGTTCTTAACTCCCAGTTCACAGATGAGGAGTTAAGAGGCCAAGGGCGTTGTCCATTAACTCCTGAAGAGATAGGACTCCTTTTGACAGCCTTGGGATTTAACAACAGCACACGGCTATATCTTGCTTCCCACAAGGTGTCTAACAATGATATTACTTATCTCATTAAAAAGAATAGTGTTTCATTGTCAATAACAGCTTAAGCACTCTTTGAAACTTTTCCCATTTTCATCAGGTTTACGGTGGAGAAGCAAGGATATCGGCTCTTCGCCAGTTGTTCCCATTTATGGAGGACAAGAAAAGCCTTGCTGCTTCTCATGAATTATCCGAAGTGGAAGGAAAAGCTTCTTTATTAGCTGCTCTGGATTATTATGTGAGCATGCAGAGCGACATATTCATTTCTGCTTCTCCCGGCAACATGCACAATGCACTGGTAATTAAATTGTATATCAGAATTTCTTATTAATTGCTAGATTCTAGTCTATCTTAATCTTGATTATGCTTTGAGACTGATATGGCATGGCATTTTAACAACTCTCAGTTGGGGCATCGAGCATACAAGAATCTTAAGACTATTAGACCAAACATGACATTGCTAGGCAAGCTCTTTCTGAACAAGACTATGGAGTGGTCCGAATTCCAGCGTGCAGTACAGCAGGGTCACAAGAATAGACAAGGGCAAATGCGGCTACGCAAGGAAAAACAGTCAATATATACTTACCCCGCTCCTGATTGCATGTGTAAAGCTTAATTTTGACACCCTTTGGAGACTTTGATTTTATCAAACGTGATATTCACAAGTAACTTTGTTATATTATTGTGTTCACTACACCAAAATAGGATCTTTGGTTGACCATATCCAGGATACAACAGCGTAGTCTCCTCATTCTAGCTAGCCTCAAACATTTGCTATTATGGCTAGTCAGTGCATTAGGATAAATTTTCTTTTATGTAGTATGCAGTGGCCGAAGTTAGAAAAAGGAAAGAGTCTTAACTCTCTGTACATGATTCGCAGAAAGGGCTGGATAAACTGTTGCCGAGCTCAAAGATGAACTAGATTCACCAGCCATTGTGCAAGAAAACATTGGTTCAATAATCCATATGACCCAAGCAGAAGTCTTCTGAAGTCACTTTAACAGTTGCAGTTCTGATATTAGTATTTATTTTATCTCTAATCATATTTCATGCTTTTAAAGACAGCCTGGTAACTACAATTATAGAAATCTAACTTGCAGGCTAAACAAAATCAACTTGAGGAGCCGCAGCGGCTATATCTCCAAGTATAATTTAATTCATACACACGTATGTTCATACAATACTAAGTGGTATAATATGGGGGGCCGAGAATTTTTTTTTAAGTACTAAATTGTTACTCATCAATTACACTAACTAATCTTGCAGAAGATTTTACTAATGAGCTGTCTAGCAAAATTCATTTTCTAGATAATTTTCATATCTGCGAAGAAGAGATTGGTGTAATGGGAAAACTCGAGATTTTGAATGATCTTAGCTGGTAAACAAATACGTCATCACTATATATTTGATGTCAATGCAAAAATTTTCTCAATAATCACCATCCCTTCTTCGTTTTTTCCTTCTTTTTCACTTTCCACTTCTCTTTTCTTTTTCCTTTTCTGAATTCAGACACGAGAATTAGCTTCTTAACTTTCTTAATAGGGTTTTAACCATCACTAGAATAAGCTCAATCTTACTGTAGTCAAATTTCACTCCAAAACTGCTGGAGTTCCTGGTACAACAAACCAATCTAAAGTCAGTAGATGGTCACGCCAAGCTTTAAGCTAAAAGTTAGTTGCACTAGCCTTCATTGATCATTATCAAAATGCTAAAATACAAGCCAACTATTGCTCCACAATTGTACATAAATGGAATTTCATGAGAAAATTTACATTGTGCGTAATGCAAGCTCTAAAAAACAGCCTTAGCGCATTAATGCACATTGTTGAACCCACAAACAATGATCACTTTTCGCGTTCTTTTTGGACATTTGGTGCACTTGGAGCTTCAGCCATCTGATCATCCATCTTATCTTTATTTGAGCTGGTTGAGCTATTCCCATTCCGGCAGGCAGCCAACTCCTTTGGTTCTGAGTCGGAAAATGCTGGAGAGGGAGAGGGTGAAGTCGTTTCTTCCTCAATTGGAAGTGTTAGTTTTGACCCTTCTAGTGCAACACCAAGAACAATGTTATCTTCTAACATGGGCCTTCCCACAGAAGGTGTTGAAATTGGTCTTTCAGCATCTTGTTGTGCCTGTGAAGCAGCAGATGCCACATCTGTCTTCTCAATGTTGATATCTGATGTCAAACCTGGTGGTTCCCCAGTTGCTGAAGCAACTTGGTTTTTCTCAGAGTTGCTTTTAACTGGACTAGTCAATCCTTGTTTTGGTGTTTTTCCATCTGAAGACAAAGTTGCTACTTTTAAATCGACATTAGCATTTGATGCTGACGAGACCTTAACAACTTCTTTCTCAGCAGGCTTTGATGGCAAACCATTTGTATCATCAGCAGCCTGTGATGTACTTGGTGCTTCAGCCTTTCCATCTTTTTCTTCATCAGGTTGTACTGAACCGGCAGAAACCTTAGTTTTATCGTCATTATTGATCCTATAAGAAGGCTCAATAAGGAAGAATGGGCGATTAGGACGGTCACGAGAGAAAATGGAATCAGCAAAGGGTACATCATCCGCATCAGGTTCACGATATGTTTTCTGCACAGTACGGAGAGGTGTGGCAAGTCGAGCACGATGATGGCTGATTACTCGAAGCAGATCCAGCAATATAACTTCCTGCAACCGAAAGTTGATGGAACCATTAGCAGGAAGTTACTATAATCCTGATAGACCTCAGGACCTCAACTGCCACATACACACACCACAGATGGAGATGAAAGAAAAGGCCTCGACATAGAAGCAGATTGAATGTATACCCCACAAACCTATACTAAAGCTTGAATCAAATAATTAAAGATACTAAAGGTGATTATAGAATTTTTTAGTTACTTCTGGCAATAGTAACCTGAGGAACTGCCGAACAGATGGTAGAAGAGAAATTGTGGCTGCATAAAGCGATATAGTATTGAAGACCCATCTAAAACTGGGCACTAAGAAAAAGAGCTTATACATGACTACATATAAATTAATTAATGTATGGTAATGGTTGACTAGATTTACTGTAAGCAAAGATTTTATACCAATTTACAAAGTCAGACTCAGGACTGCTTCACTGAACCAAGGGATAAAACTCGTACCTTCACTCGGGAGTACTCTTCAAAATAAGAAGTCTTCACAAAGCAAGAAATCATGATCTGTTACACATGCCACGAGTAAGAAAATTGAGTCATACTATTAAAAGAAACTTACTTCCTTAAACTACTATGCACAAATGAAAGATATGCCAAGACTGGATTCTCTAACACAGACATGTAAAATTAATATGAAAGACAGGTGGAAACACTTGCACAAGAGATGAAGTGATCCTGTGGCTAAGGGGCCTAGAAGTTCCCAACTAGCACTAGGCTCTACACATTTAGAGAGCTAACCCGTGTCGAGTGTCGGGCAGAGTTAAAGGAGCTTCTATCCTTGCTCTTTGCACGCATCTTCACCCAGGCTAACAGGGCTTTTACTTATTCAATGGGAGAATGGAGTCTTGGAAAGCCTAATTGAGAGTAAGATCCTTCACCCCTTTTCAGCCTCTACAGGGTTCACACATTTCTTCAATATAGGTGAGAATGGACCAAACAGAGATGGAAGAGATCAAACATAGAGATAAGAAGCAGCTAGCCTTCTTAACGTTTAGCTAGAGGGGGTCGGGGGGGGGGGGGGGGTTGAAG